GTCTTTATTTCATTAGAATATGAGAAATCTCATAATGTTGCGCCTTTTATTCTATTCTGTTTTTTATATACTTATTATTAGAAAAAGAAATAGATCCCCATCATCTGTCGACGATGTTACGTACTGCTCGCGAGCAAAAATTAGTATTTCAGTTTTTCTCCAATATCGTTATCATAATGGTGTGCAATATTGGCAAAACATTTTTATTAATTTTATTGGTGTGCATTATGAATATACTGAGTCAATTTTGCTATTTTTTTATCTTTGTAGCTGATATTAACAAAGTCAATATTAGCTATAAAGTTAAAAAAAGAGCAAAATTGATTTAGTAAATCCATAATGCACGCCAAATATACAATCAATGTTTAACATGTTCGCTACCACGTGTCACATATGTGACACGCCCGCGCCAGTTTATTTCGAGAGTTCAAACGTCACATACATCGTCATATGACATCGTTAATTTATTTGCTGCTTTATGATCATGTAAAGAAATATGCGTAAAAGTATTGTGAGAAAAGCTTGGGCTGTGAGGTCGGTTTTTCAACCAAATCGTAGTAGCGAATGTGTTAACAAATGTCATCAATAAATTGTACAACTAAGGGAAATACAGCTGTAGATCGACGCATAGAAATACAATACGTCTTTATCAAATTTAAAAACAATCCTTAAAAAATTTGTAATTTTAGAGAATAATATATTCTTATAATTTTTTTTCTTTTTCTAGTTGCAATACCTTTCACAGAGACTATAGACGAATTTGAATTCCAATGTCTTACCTTTCCGAAAACATTTAAAGTTTTTCGTAAAATCATATTCTTTGTGCTATTTGGCGTGATCCAACTTATCATATTATTTATCATACCTAGGTATCTTATACCCTCACATATAACACGGTCGAAACCTATTTTATCGGATAACTAACCCAAAATGCATAAATATTAAACAAATATGCCACTACTATTTGCTATTTACACACAACGATCTCACCTGAAGATTTTTATTCTTCTCGATTTTGTAATCCTGAGATTGTTCCATCTCTAAGAGTATTAATATGCTTAAAAAAAATGCATATCGTAAGTCTCATAAATTACTTTTAACAATAATTATTAAATTTCAATAAAATAATTTATAATTTAAATAGAATATATCGAAGTAAATCTAACTCTCTCGAAGATATTTATACAATATTAATGGAGCTTTACAATATTTTAAATTAATTTTATAACTAATTTGTATAATATAAAAGTATAGATATTTCATATATCCTATAATAATTTTTTTCAATACACATATTGATATTCTACATCAATTTATTTACAGAATTTTATTGTAAATTCTGTTGTAAATTCGTCTAAATTTACCTACAGACTTGCTTTATAATTAAGTTTTAATATTGAATATTATAGTAATACAAACCTTTTTAGATTGGCATAAGTTTCACGCGACCGTTCAACCTCAATCGCTGTGTTTAACCGCGAGCATAAAATATAGATCATGATTGTGTGCCAGTTTTAAAAACTAAAGAAACGCGAAATAATCACCATTCGTACGTGTACAAGTGTAATGACACTATATATATATATATATACAAACTTTTTAAACAGACCAGTATTAAAACATTTGTAATAACGTGATAACGTTTATAAATCGTCTTGTGTATCATGCGACTCGAAGCATAACACGGTAAGTATCTAAACTTTATCATTTCATTTTTGTATTTACTCTGAAAGGTTATAATTGTAAAGGACATTTGGCAAAAAGACTCTTTTCTCTTTTCCAATTTTCGCCTGTATTTATACGAAATGTACGATTTCGCTGAGATTCAACTGTCTAGTAGATGAATATTATTCGACAATAAATTTGTTTTACGAATAAGATTGTTAGAAGTGATTTAGAAGAGACCGCGGCGAGAGATGAATAATGAATAGTAATGATAAAAATTGAATGGAAAATTAATTAACATATATTTTCATGCTTGTACAATACGTATATTGCAAAAAACAGTTATAATAAATAATAAATATTATAAATATTAATTAATGTTATAAATATTATAAATATTAATTAAAGTTAATATATTCCATAAATCTTTTGCCTTCTTGTAAATTGTAAATTTTCACTTTCTTAAATCTTAATTTCCATTTTTTTTTCTTGAATTTTAAATTCACATATTTCGCGACATATTTCTGCTCCTAACTAGTTACAGACATGAAATATGTAAAAGCAAAGTACATATTACATTCACACTCGGCAATTTAAAATATTTGGATATTTGCAATTGTACACGAAAAAAAATGTTTGGTTGAATTAACTGGAATTCTGATGGAAAATGAACGATCCAAAATTTTTGTTAAATCTACTAGATTTCTAATTAAATCTACTAAATGTTAGTTATTTCAACTAGAATTTTAATAGATTTGCATAGAATACTGAATTGCTGCTTCTGGTGAACGCAACACACAGACTTGATTCGCATAACTAGCGAATCAATATTTATCAGCAGAGCTCGAGATAACACCGTTTATCGATACAAGCATACACTGCTCTATCAAATTCACGTGCGTTATCAAACTCGTTAGCTACATGAAACATATTTCTATAATATCTTTTATAGTAACTATAGATACTATAGAATATATCTTTACCGTCCTCGCTTGTAAAATCCGAACTCCAGCAATTTTTGTCAGTAAATATCTCATCTTGCATCTACCTCTTCAACTACATGCGATATTATGTTATTACATTGATATTATTAAATGAAATGATATTTGGACGACACAAAACTTTCGACAAGAAGTAATAAAAAAATTGTAACTTTACAAAAGATTAATTTATATGATTAATGTTTATTTATTCCTGCAAAACATGAATTAGAATCTATTACTCATACTTTTTAAACATGCAATTTTTAATATACTATTGGAGCGTGAAAATATAAAAAAATGTAATCACACAATATGATATAATTTTTATATTGAAGAAGAGTTCCAAATTAAAAATTATCTAAATTAAAAAATTATCAATTCAGATTTTCGCAGATTGATAATCTATGAATTTCTATTTTAATTTCCCTCTTTTTTGGTTCAGAAAAGAGAGAAGACTTTATTTATGTCATCTTCAAATAAACATAGTTCTTAACATAATTGTAAATATTGCTGACATTTTTTGACTGTGCAAATTATTCGTTATATTTAGATAAATCTGGCTTTCGCTTAGAAAACCAACATCTTTTGTTTGATATAGTAACTAATTATGATAACATAAAAAAGATTGTTTGCAGACATTCTTTGATTATTTTATTACCTGTCATGTTACTTTTTATAATGATACTCACGCAATGCTTTATATTCTTTAGAATTTTATTAGTTTGATTCATTTCCATTTCTATGATCGAAATTCTAAAATAATATATTAGGTGTACAAAAAAGTTCTGAGCTTTAGATTTGATACAACCGAAATAACAATTTAAATTTTATATATCTTCCCGCCCTTTTGGGGTTTTAAAACAGTAACATTTAACCTCCTGAAATGCGATACGGTTTGGCGTTTGATGCACATAACCTCAAAAATCAGTAGTGTTCACGATGGCAATTACAAAAGAGCATATTCGATTTTCCATCCACTTCGCGTTTCATCTGAAGAAAAATGCTGCTGAAGCCACTGAAATGATTTGTGCTGCATATGGAGAGAACGCTGTAAGTCATGCAACATGCAAAAGGTGGTATCAAAAGTTTCGCCAAGGAGATTTCAGTCTTAAAGATGAATCGCGTGCTGGACGCCCTGAAAAGATTGAAACGGACGAATTGCAAGCACTGCTGGATATAAACTCTGCGCAAACTGAAAAGGAGCTTGCAGAACAGCTTGGCGTTACGCAGCAAGCCATTTTTTTCGTTTGTTTTTAAATAAAGATTGAATTTTACAAAAAAAAGCTCAGAACTTTTTTGTACACCTAATATATATATATAATATATATAACACTAGATAACACATGATTACTTCTAGGATATCTAAATAAATACAAAATCCCAGATGTAATGACGCGACACGACACGTGTGGATGTGTATACACAGACTATCCAATGAGAACTTGAGATGATCATAATAGTAACAATAACGAATTGATCACTTTTCAAAAATATTTACCCGGAAATAATAATCAAACCTAAATGTGAAAATTTTTCTTACAATTTTTATACGAATTAGAACATTTTTTTTAGAAATATTCAAAAATATTCGAAAAGTTTATATCTTCTCTCAGAAATTTTCATACATATGAATTCTGAAATATTCTGAGATTTCTTATCCCATAATTTTCAAAAAATATTTAAAAATTTCTAGATTTTATAACATTTTATCCAGAAATTATACTTACAAAAAATCTTAGAAATCTTATTTTGTAATTAACATAACAAATGTTGTTATATGAAAAATTTTGAAAAAAAATATAGATTTTCTGAGAAGTGTCCCAATTTGTATTAAAAATGTGAGAAAGTTATAAAATTATATAGAAATTCTGAAAAATTACATGAAAAATTCTGAGAAAAATTTTCAGAGGAGCAACATTCGCGAAATATAACGGCAACGCTTTCCTTTGAAATATTAATGAAATTTAAGTTTTACCATAGACCGATTTTCCGAAATCTATCTTCTATGAAACTATTAATTTCATTAAAAAATTTGCGACATCAATCAGATTTATTTCCATAATCAGTGCGTGTAATGCCAGATAATATATTTATTTAAAATCTTTACTTTTTCTACACATGCGTATCGATTTTCTTCCGACGTTGATATTCCGACGTTGTAAATGTGTGATTTTTAAATCATCAATTTTTTCTTATAATTTAGTATATAATAACAAAATTAGTTATGCAATATGAACAACTAAATAAATAATTTTATTTGACCGTCAATCTCATCTGTCTTAACATATAGCAATGTAAGAATAAAAAGAATATTAATAAATACACCAAAAATTATAAATTATATCCATAAAATTAATATGCACCATCATGAGAAATTAATGACGATGAGGACAAAGCAGCATCTGGTTGCGATAACATAGTTATCACATTGTTGTACGCTTCTTTTAAGTTTTCCGCTTCAACTTCTTTCGCGAGCAGCCTAGAACGATTAGAAAATTTAAAATTTCTATCGTAAGATTTTAACCGCGTTTACAATTATTACTGATAAACTGATTTCTTTTTACCATTGTCAAATACGAAAAACATTATGATGGAAAAAATTATTAAATATCACAAATATGTGAAAAAATACATGTCTTACAATTCTCGCAGTTAATTTTTAATTAAAATAATTAAGATACATAAATTTAAATTAGAACTCTGATCAAGTATGCACAATATCAAGGGAACGAACTTGTCGTATAATTGTTTGACGACGTTTACTAATACTCGCGCCTGGGTAACATTAAAAAGTGTTAATTCCGAAATGGAACCCTGCAAAAAATTTATAACGTCTCGGCTGATCTGCTCGAGTCTAGATTTTGAGATGTTCGGTAGCGCCTCTTGATGTAAAAACATATCATTCAACTCTAATTCCTTCTTCAATGTGTTTACTTGCTCCCGTAATTGCTGCACGATCAATTCTGTCCGTGGCTGGATGTGACGTATCGTCTTGATCGGTTTCAGTTTTGCGATTTTAGCAGTCAGTCGCATGGTCGACAAAGTGATTGCGAGATCTTCTCTCGTGATGCGCACGTGAGATATGAAGCTGATAAATAAGAGAAATGTCAAGATTTTAATTAATCAAATAAAACGTCATAAATATGTATGAATTTTAAGCCAAGTTAAAAATTTAATAGAAAATATAAAAGTTTGATTACAGTACATAGAGAATTAAAAAATAGCGTTTACATTTTATTAAATATTATAGAATCGTGTTTTTATTCAATGCTTAATTTGTTTTTATATATGTCTATATTTATTTATATTTATATAAATATTTATATAGATGTTTATATAGATAATGAAAAAAAAGATGAATTTATTGTAGTTTATATTAACATAAGAAAATTTGCGCTACTTCTGTTTCAAATTTGTATTCATTATATAATTACCGAATGATTGATGTGACAGTCAAAGCATCTTTTAGTAGCTTCAGCAAATTACTTGAGCGAATAACGCTATATGTGCACATACTTGGTTTTCTAAGATGCAGGAAATATTGTTCCAGCTGTATTTTCATTAAATTCGCCATACCTAAGTCGACTGCTGTTTTCCAGCAACTCGATTTTACCATACCAGTTCCAGCCATCTCTACGATATGTATCTAATATTGATCCGTAAAAACAAGCTCGTAATTTTTCTTTCAAGATATCTTTCAATCAAGATAATTTCTTTAAAATTTACATATATCATGAATATTTATTATTAAAAATATTTAATTATTTAAAATATTTAATTATATTTAAAATATGTAATTATTTAAAATATTTAAACGTGATATTAATTATATATTTATGTGATTAACGTGATTTAATTTATATATTTCAAATAATAGTTCTATAGTTAAATGTTATATCCACACCCAATATTTAAATAACATTTCAGATTATTTTAATATTTTAATAAAATAATACAAAAGTTCTTCCTAGTAATCTATAAATTATCATGCGAAAATATTTGAACATAGGAAGTCCCAAAATTTATTTTGAAAGATGCCAAATTTGCAATTACTTTTGCTGTCGCTACGATAGCTTGCGATTTTATCAAGCTCGCATTTGAAACGTAAATAGTGATCACAGCAGCACCTAAATGTGATACCGGATACGTTGTGCTTCTCACAATTGATCTCCTGCCTTCTCCTTCACGTACTTGTTTCAAAGTCTCTTCTTCATTCTCTACATCTATTATAATTACATTCTGAAATCATAATTGTGCTGATTTCGACACGTATGTAGAACAAAAGCTAAGACACTTTAAATAAATATAAGAATTCTGGGAAATCGCAAAAGCAAGTATGTTCTTGATACAACGTTATTTTTCGTAAGCAACATGAAAGCTCTCCGAAAATTTAACACGAGGATACAAATACATTCCTGCAAAAAAACAAATTGGAATTTTTATCACGATACCTTAAAGATACCGCGTTCATTGGCGTTAAAAATCCTTCGTTTTTGCATCAGAAGATCTACTACGTTTTTACCTCTCAACTCGATGAAACTTAAACGATAACGTATGTCACTGATTTTTCTTCGGTTTGCCTTTTCCATAAACATGTCGGATAAAAGTCGCTGGACTATTCCTCTATGCTAAATTAATGAATGAAACAATCAAAATAATTGATTGAACGATAATCCAAGTAAAATTATGCAAGATACAAAAGCGTACTTCCCAATTATTTCTGAAACCGCCAATCGTGAAACTTTTTCCGGATCCTGTTTGTCCATAGCCGATCAGTACGCAATTTACACCGTTTAAAGCTCTTAAATTATTCCTTTGTTATGTATATCATACATGTTTTGTTACTTTTATAGACGTTGCATGATATTCCATATCTTATCAGCGATAAGTAATACTAATTATTGATTATTATCCAGTAATGTGGCTGCATTCTAATAAAATACATAAAATCATGCTAATCCTCAATAATCTAAATGTTTTCATTACAATCAAAAAATATTTTTTATATCTTCTATTTTATTTAAAAAATACTATCAATTTAACATAACGCGCTCTTATTACTCTATCCTCATTCTTCATACACGCTGGCAATATTAAATCATTTATGTGTTTTCAAAAATTAGTTTAATAATTTTGTTACACATTTTTGGCGACATTAGAAAAGTAAATTAATACAAATTAATTTACTTTTCCCAAATTAAATAATATCAAGTTAATTAATTATATCGTTGACACATTATGGAATATCATCACACCAATTAAAATATTAATCAATACTTTTTTACGAGATCTTTCGCAGTAGCGCAATACACCTTATCTTGAGACATCTCATGAAATATCCTATCAATATGGAAGGCCCAATAAATAGGATGTTTCGACTGTTTGTCTCGTTGCATATCTTGCAAGCATCTCAGATATATTATCTAAATGACAACATTATAATAATTTAATTAATTATAATGTTAATTGACAAAATGTACCAAAATTAACCACGAAACATCTCAATAAACAATAATAATAGCAATAAAAAAATAACAAATTTCATGAGAATGCATCCCACTAGCGGGATATAATCTTTTCTCAGCTATTGGAATAGTATCGGTTTAATGATAAAGAGATTTACATTAATCTCACCTTACCATCCGTACTGATCTTTGCACAAGAATCGCATGGTTTTTCAAGCGGTAGAATTCGCACAAAAACTTTCACATTACTGTTGTACACTTCATCAATCGACTCGTCATCCGATATAGAAAAGTTCGTTTGATGCATTTTCTTATTTTCAACATTCTCTCAATACCGTGGATAATTACAAGACGGCAAGGTTAATCCTTTCTGTGCACTCTAATTATAGCGCTGAAATTGTCTAGAATTCAATTTCAAAGTATATCGCATACAAAAAATAAAAATAAAATAGCTTCACGAGAGCGTGAAATTATATGCGAAATATTTACAGAAATTAATACGTCGTTGTGGGTATGAATTTACAAAACCCTTTATTTCATATTTTGTGTATATAAATTATTCATAATTAAAACTTCAATTTTAGCAAAGGGCAACGGCAAACTCTGAAAGGATGTCGAAAAAAGAATTGAGTGCCCGACCATGGTGAAAGTATACTTCCACCATGTGCCCGACGACGCAAAGTCACCAACGTCACTATTACATACACAATACGATTATTATTATTATGCGTATGACATACATACAAGTATTACAAAATAATATGAAAAATACGTCGAACATTATCACTGCAAATTAAATAACTCGACTTAACTAAGAATACAGAAAGAAAATCCGTTGATCACGCAAAATCGGAAGGGGGTGGGGAGGGGGAGGGAGAGACATCGTGCTGCTGATTTCGAGTAACAAAAAATGGATAATTTCTAACGTGCATGTGTGTTAATTTGATCTAAACGTACGAATATGGCGTATCTAAATCACTAACAAGAGTGACATATTTTTAATCTGTCACATTAAATTGATATTTTTTTCTAAACTCAAAACTCAAAAGATTACGTCGTTTGTGCATATTTCTGACAAACTAGTGATTCCTAGATCACTCGAGCTTTTTTCTTATAAAGTACAAAATCGTGAGCGCGAAAGCGTTCATAAATTCTTGTTGCTGGAAAAAAGTTACGTATTTATCACGCACGTACCTCGCGTTTTACACGCAAACGTTTTATTACGAACTCGAGCCTTCTCGAAGCACACGCAAGATAAAAAATATCATTTCTGTAACATATGATCACAGATACAATCGGTAATCACGAAGCATTAAGTATTTTTTTATTTACAAAAATAAAATTTATCAGCTCCAAATCGATTCAATGAATAGTGATTTAATTCTTCGAGAGTACGAAAAGACGTGCAAAATTTTCTTTTCTTGATTTTGTTAAGATCTATTCTTGCAAGAATCTTATAGGAATCTTATAAGATTATTGCAAGCTCTTTAAAAGTTAGGTTTGTTCGTCTTCTCGAGATCTCACTGAAAACGCGGAAGTACATTCGATGGGTCACGGACGGGCCAAACGCTTTAAATCGAAAACGTAGACGACAGAACACATTTTGTTAGCGTGTGAAATTCGTATGTGAATTTATTATAAGGAAATTACAAAACCGCAGATTAAGATATCGTACAAAAGCTCCGCTTCAAAAAATTTCTCATCGTTCGCAAACAAGTCTGCTCGCATATGTGGTCCCTCCCTCCGGCTACTGCTCATAGTCGGCGTCGAGACGGTGGGCGTCAGCATCGGTATTTCCTCCGTAGGAACTCTACTAGCGTTACCGTTTAGATCACTACCGAGATGACGATCATTACAATTACCGCACGATAATTAAAAAAAGAATCGATCGACATCGCCTTATTATTTATGTAATATTTAATCAAATTTTAATCGTTCTGTTTCGAATTTACTGGATATGACGCACATTTCCTCTTTGTTACCGTAACGAATCACAACATTAAATCATCTCGCTTATCCGTAATGCAACAAGATTCTTATAACTTGTATAAACAAGACGAGTTCTGCAGCATTTTCAAGATTGTTCTCATCATTAGGATCCTTTTTCAATCAATAAATCTTGCACTTTCCTCCACCGACACCTCCGTACAACAAACACACATTTCATCTGTCTCTCTCTCTCTCTCTCTCTCTCTCTCTCTCTCTCTCTCTCTCTCTCGCTCATTCTCATTCTCACCTCCATTCTTTCCATTCTAATAATAATTATTTCTGATAAATACTATTCAAGCTATACCTAAAAACTATTGCAGATAGAAACGTATTAGAAACGGTATAAAATGGACATGTTTCGTTCATTTTTTTTCTGTTCCTTTCAACAACTCTATGTTATATATGATAGATTCCTTTCCTCTATCTCTTTTGCTCTTTTTCTTAGTTTTCCCTTTTCCTAAGCATATAATGCGTATTATTTATATCTGGCATACGCAATTTTTGAAAAGTACACCATACAGTAAGGGGAGTTGGGGGAGTAAAAGTGCTAATATATAATACAAAGTGCTAATATTATAAATCGGGACAATCAAATTATGTGCTGCGTGTAACTGTTTTTAGGCTCGATCGCCCACCGGCTTGTTCAGTCTTTCTTGCGTCTCTAGCCTTTCTCTCAGCGTAGATTCAACCGTGACAATCCTGATGCTGACACACCCGGAATCGTGTCCTTCATTCAATAGCGACACGGGACATCATTAAGCCCCGCCTGGTGAGCAAAACGCTACAACAAAATTAATGAGATTATCAAATAAGTCAATACAACAGTCGAAAAGAGTAAAACACACATAATTACAAATATAATAATCCTATGTTATAAGATACCAAAATTGATCGTCAATTGTAGAATCAATAGTTTGATTAATATTGATAATATGAAATACTGTAATAACAAAATATAATACACACACAAGATAAGATTAAAAATAATAGTAAATATTTGATTTGAATTTTTTCGAAATGTGCATTGTTAGCATCGAAATCAGCAATTTTAATGTTTTAGAGATAAAAATAAAATTTAAAAAATAACGTTAATATTACATTTTGAGCGTTATCTTACCCTAGACCGGTTCCAATGAGCAGAGACAGAAGATTCGTGAAGAATAGAGTATAAATGACCTCTTTGGAAAACAATCCGTTCTTGCCAACCTTCGCGGTACGGATGCTGTATGTTTTCCGCTTACTAACCAAAGGGTGTTTGAACTTCCAGTCTCTGAAACGAGAATGAGATCATTAAACGTAAGTAAGAATTTTATTCGCCAATATTACTCAATGTGAAAAAGAAGTCTCTTAAGTCAAATTAATCCTTTATAAAGTACAGAAATATGTATAGCTATTTTTTTATACTTGATACACTCGGCTTTAATAGTAAACAATTATAAGACAATTAAATATATAGTAATTATTTATATATTTAATTTATTAAAATCTCGTTTATCATACTTTGGAGGCGCCTGGTCCGGTCGAGAGCTCCATTCGTAAATCCAGTCTGTGTTCTTCTCAAGAAACTCGCCCTCCTGCGAAGTAGAACAAAGTACATCTTGTTAAGAGAATAATCGAGTAATTATTTCACGGTTATCGTGCTGTGCAATGAAACAAGATAGATTCCAAATTAATCATTCCGGATACGATAAGTTCGACAGGATGAAAAAGCAACGAGAAATTAATTGCACGAGTCACTCTTTATATCTATGAATGGTAATCGCGTCGCGTGGAAAAGTGAATGTTCAAGGATGACCTTTGGCGTTCCGCCAGTGTTGCACATATCTATACTATATATACTATATATATTGGATCTGATATGCGCAGTACATCGCAAGTTGTGCGCATAAGCGCCGGCTGTAAACAATACTCGGACGAGACGATCGCTCATAAAGGTGTGAATTGATTGTGTAAAAAGGAAAGAGGGTAACCAGAACGTGACGCGAGTTACTCGGAGCCTTCTTCGTATCGAGGAGAGATTTAAATGTTTGATGAGCTATTTCTCTCAGAACGAGAGACTTTTAGCCGATTCTATTTCGAACTGGGTCATCGATTTGATACGCAATATGACAGAACAAGAACGCGCAAAGATAACTTATGAGTCACACGATTTGTACGCACGCAGAGTATCCATTAAAAATGGCGTCCGTGTCCCCGTGTTTACTCAACGTTACACATAATCGAGTAATTACAGTATAATTCATTATCAGTTTATTGTTAAGGAAAAAACGCTAATGAGAATACCGAAGCACGATGACTGAATATTCTCAAATTAAATCGGCATTTGGCGCTCAACAAAGTTGAGCTTTGTATTATTATCTTCTTGCTTCTTCTACTGGTACTAATGACGGGCGAACTCAGAAACAGCTCATTATGTATGTATATACAAGACAATGTCCAGTTATAAGAATCAACAGATAAGCCCAATCTTCTTAATGGCGCGACGGTAACCGCGCGGTCGTTTACGTTTAGTTAAACGATAGCAATTTGCATTTCGCTTGACTTGTTGATATGAATTATGATTTATGCGAAAGAAATATTCCGTAATCAATAAATATCAACTTATATCAATGAAAAATTGATAGACATTAATCTGAGCACAGTCGAAAATCGAATTTCATTCACGCTCTCTCTCTCTCTCTCTCTCTCTCTCTCTCTCTCTCTCTCTCATTCTTTCTCTCTCTAGTAGAAATTTATTTTATTTCTTTTAATATCTTTATTACGTTTTACATTTCAAGCGAATATTTCGTGCGTCACACGCGTTTCAGAATGTTTCCAAAATGATATTTCTCGATTTATTTCAAATAAAAAAACTTGCTTCCATGTGCCTCTGTTCTTTGTGCCAATGTCAGAACGGTAGTATTTACGATCTCAGAAAGCTTTATCATTGCTAAGATAAAAGTTTAATCCCTCAATGATTCACCCGTGCTACCAATCAACGCAAAGATAGTGCGTTGCAACGCGCGACGCGATTCATAACTTCATCAAAATCATTACTCTTCCGATTATTACTATCGAACGACGATGATCAGCTAACAGAACAGCAACGATCGGAGGGCAGATTGTTTTCGGATTGCTGCGGATTAACTTAACGCTCGCTATATCGTTTTCGCATTCCGATCAGGAGCATGCGAAGCACGGATTTATTGAGGAAACATTGTCACGTATAAATTCATCGAGAAAAAAAAGATAGACAGATAGAGAGAGAAAGAGAGAGAGAGACAGAGAGAAAGAGAGAATAGAGAGAGGTCCAATGTTATATCAAGAGAGATCAATAAACCCGCGAAGATTACTCCAATAA